TATCAATCATCCCACAAGCCAGTTCCAGCAATTATGGAACTTTTCACGCAGAATACAAGGGACAGCATATAATAAAGTAACATTAGAATTAAGGATTCAGCAGATATCAGTTCTCTCCTAAAGTATTTTTTTAAAAGTCACTTTAAAGCCCATCTTTACAATCCAACTGGGCCTAGATGCTTCTACTTTATATGACACATTTACACTTTTAAACTTTGGTCTCTTCATATGCTCCATTCATTTGCTTACTTGATCCTATCCTTTGCCTAGATCTCCCAAATTTGTAAACTCAGGGGCTGACTAAAATCTGTTACACGTCCTGTTAGAATTGGGCGTGTGAAAATTACAACACAAATCAATTTGTAAGAATGAAATTTGCTGAAGTGATTTAAATTTTTTACTCTGGACTGTAACTGCCATGTAAATGTTTTCTTAGCATTTTTAAATCAGAAATAGATTTTTATGCCTTTTTTCTTTTTTACAAGAGATGACTGCTGTTGGATAAAACAGATGACAATCAGTTTCCACGTGGCAGAAGGCTGAGGACATTTCAAGCTTAGTACTTTATTCTTTGTCCTACCAATAAAACCTGGTGCAAAGGTCCAGGAATTTGTAACCATGACTAATATTTAATTTTTTACTGTACGCAAGGCCAAGCAGATCACATGCCAACATACTTCAAAATATCCAAACATCTTCCAGGGAATAAATTCTACTTTCCTTTCCTCCCTGACTTAGAATATTCAGAGATAATATTGAATCCTACTGGAGAAATATGAAACTTCCCTGGATGTTTACAGCCTGTTTATATATGCTCCTTAATTATTCAAACAGGGTAACATACCAGTTGTCATTGCCTGGTTGGAAGATATGCAAGCCATGCTGACAGTGTGAGCAGGAGTTCTGTCAGAGAAGCCAGCTCCCAAGGCAGCCTACACAGAAGTCAAAAAGCAAATCAGAAGATTGACAGATGTCTAATTTCTACAATTCTCATGATACAATGCAGTCCACAGTTTTCAGCTCAGCTGGTTTTGCAAGAATCTTGCAGAGAAACTGAGGTTGAGAGACTGGATCTTATTAATGTATTCCATGGCTGAGTAAAAATAGAAGCCTTTTGCTCTTTGAACTTTTCATACAGTCAACAATAAGGTTTGTTTCTGTTTCATCAATATAAAACAAATAGTTTTTGGTTTATCAATATTAATTAAATATTAAAAAGCATTTTATAGAATATACCCAGAGCTTCTGCTTGTTAATTATGATCACTCTTTGTACTGCAACTGATTCTGTTCGCTGAGAAACAGAATGGCTGGTTCACACCTCATACTAATAATAATTTGTGGTTTTGGCTTAGCCTGTTGTATGAACTAGCTGATAATTTACTCAAACCATGGTTAAACAAATAATAACCTATGAAATATGTGAATCCAATTCACCATATTAAATTTCCTGGGGGCAGGAAACAAGTTGAGACCACAGCAACCATAGGTTAAGAAATTCATTTGTTTGCAATAGCCAAATGGCCAATTCCACAAATCAGAGTCAAAAGATCTTGGCTATCTGGCTGCCTCTGCTTGCAAACATCTGGATAAAATGCTCTGGAGGTTTATGGCCTAACTGCAGAGGCACCATATGTAAGAGGCCCTTTACACATTCTAACCAGCATAGGAGCAATCCCAGAGTGGCCAGGAAAAGATTAATGAGATTTGCAAGCGGTTTAACTCTGAATATTTTCCTTTATTGAGATCACTGGAGAAAATGCTGCCCCAGCTCCAGTTACCTGATTGTACAGTGGATAGGAATGCTGAAGTATTTTTGATCTGGAAAATGTGAAAGGGTAACATGAATCTTGTTTTAGCCACCCATACTGAAATGAAGCCCTCTCAGGGACATTCTACTGATGTTGGAAATATGAAGAGAGAATTTACCACCAATGCCTGTCTGCCTTCAAAAAAAAAAAAAAAAAAGGTGGGAGTAATGGAAATTATGACATGATACAGCAAAGGAGCATAGCTCAGTTGGCAGAGCACTTAACCTTTGCTTAAGGGGCTGTTAGGTAGCAGGACTTCAAATGGCCAGGGTCAGTATGAAAACTTGAAAAACAGGGAATAGGCAGAATATTCAGAGGTGGGCTAGAAGAAATAATGCTCCAGTTTAGTATAAGAGAGCTTCTGGGTTTCTATGATTCAACAGTAAAACCCCTAAGTAAGGTATCCTTGGTTACACAATACCACAACACCACAACAGTGCTTCACTGACACACAGCCAACTGGGGTAAAGTTCAGCATGAAAGTTAAAATGAAGATACTTGCTGAGGCAGAGAAGCAGACAAGCAAAAACTGGTGGCAGGTGAAGCAACACACAGGATAAATGCAAGCAGTGACCAATTACTATGATGTCTTACTGCTCTCCTAAAAAATGGCAGCTCTTGGGCTTTTGATGTTAAAAGTTTTGCCAGGTGCTTGCTTAGCTTTAGAAAGTCAAACATGAATGTTCTTGCAATTGTCAGAAATGAGAGATTATTGACATGCTTGAGGTTTATGAGCAGACCAAATAATGAATAAAAGCTTGTCAACAAGTTAAAGGACAAGTCCCAGCATTCAAAACAACAGAGTCATTGCCATCAAAACCAGACAGAATCAAATGGGAGAAAAAAGGATAACATCTGTGAGTATGCATGCGTAAGACTTTACTTAACCCTAAAGAATTGAACTTAGTTCTTTTGGGATATCAGGTTAATGATCAACTAATCCTCACATTCTTAACTTTATCCTACTTGGACAGTTTGTTTGGGCCCTAGGCAAGTTCTTGCATTTAGGAGCCATAGCTAAGCAAATGTCCTTTCAGCAAGCTTTTTTGTTTGTGTGTGTGTCTTCAAGTCACTGTTGACTCCTGGCAAGTGCCTGGACCAGTCCCTGCAGTTTCCTTGGCATGATTTTTTCGGAACTGGTTTGCCACTACCTCCTTCCTGGGGCTGAGAGAGAGTGACTGGTCCAAAGCATAACAATGATGTCTTCATGAACCTCGCCTAGTCCACTTTTGTACTGCAGTGAGAAATAATAGGCTAGGGCTGAGCACGCCTTGAAAACAATATTTAAAAGGTACTTCAGACTTGCCCATCTCTGCTGTTTTTTAAATCAGCCTGTCATTTGCATGCTTCTATGCAAAAAAAAAAAAAGGCAGTTATGCCTGCTTTAAGGGTTCCCTTAACCTTAATGAGCAGATTTCTTACAGGAGTCACCCCTTTTTTCAGATGATCAGGAAGATCAGCAGCAGGAAGGCACTGGAAAAAATGGGGTAGAGGTGGAGGTGGGGGTATAGGGACCCCTGTAGGAAAATGAATGGTAAAGGTAGGAAGGTGCTAGGTAGTCTGTGGTGATGAGTGGGACAGCAGGAAGATTGGTGGCAGCAGTTGTAAAGTACCATGCTTGGTGAAAAAGGGGTATTAGGCTTATAGCACAGAAAGTGACAAAGGCAGAGGGTGGCTCTACTCTGGGGCAGGTGGTGGTGGTGGGGAGACAAATTGGCAGATACAGCGCCAAGCTTTGCTGGCTTTAAAGAACCAAGAGGCCGATGCAGACATTCCTTCATGTGCATCAAGCTGGCAAAATGAGAGGTAAGCTTTTTAATGCATGCACAAAGTGTGGAAGAATGTTTCAATGTCGAGAATGACTTAATATTTAGAAAGTAAATTGGATGTAAAATTCAGTTCCATTTGGAAACCATTTATACACTACAATTTTAATCATGGAATTGCGCCACAGCCAAAATTATGGATTCAGAGGTTATATTCTAACTTGATATATAATCTCCCCATGATTTACATTGTCTCAATGTATTGTTTATCACCTATAGTTTCTCTTTCCTTTTTTTAATGATTTTTGACTGTGTTAACCAAATACCTTTAAAGATATATTTTGATTAGAAAATGGATATGAAATGTTTTATAGTATTATAAGTTTTTAATAAGGTTGTAGAGCACCTTTGTGATATGATATTTTAGATTTGGTGACCATCCATCCATGTTTTACTGTTTATATTTGGTTTTTTATCTGTATTATCTATTTTTACAATCTTTTAAACTTGTACTCATTCCTCCTCCCCCTTCTTGAACAGACTTTGGGGTTTAACGGATGGGACCATTAAATAAAAGTTTTACTTGTAATTACAAGAATGCAGAAAGAGGTACACCTCCCTTTTTAAATCATGGAAGCCAGATTCCACTGAAAATTAGTTCCTTCATCTCACCTCCCTTCATTCACATCTCCCCACCCCACCCCAAATTAGTCTAGTTTTTCTTCTATCGTTTAACGTACCTCTCTAGCAACATTAGCTGTTTTCACTTCCTGGATAACAGTGCCAAACACGATGTACTCAACAGCTTCCTTTGGCACGTCAGTCCGATTCAGCAAGCCTCTGAGGGAACAGATCAGATAAAGAAGGGAGTTGAATGTCAAATCAAGAACATAACCAGGGTTTAGAGGATGATAACAGAGATGATAGAGGGGCTTGAGGACATGCCCTAAGAGGACAGACTGAAGTAACTTGATTATTCAGTCTGAAGAAAAGAAGACTTAGGGGAGATCAGGCATATAAATGGAAACTATAGAAAAGACAGTCATGAATTATTTTCCATGGCCACAAAAACCAGGATCTAAAATAATGGGTATAAGTTGTAGCTCCTTCAATTTCAATTAAATATAAGGGAAAACTTCCTGTGGTAGGATATTTACAACAGTGGAAAAATCTATGGAGGCTGTGGGTTCTCCATTTGTGGAGGTTTTTAATAAGAGACTGGACAGCCATGTCTCATGGATAGTTGAAGTAGCTTTCCCCTACATTGCAGAGGGATGGGCTAGATGACACTTGCTGTCCCTTCCAACTCCACAGTTCTATGATTCTATCCTCTCTCAAAAGCCACATCCTGAGCAAAAGCAATGGCCAATAAAGGCAAATGGACAACTCATAACATTATCTGCTTTGGCTATTTCACATTGGCTGGTTCAGGCATGCTAGACACATCACAAACTTGGTCTAGAACCAGGATGAAAAAATTGTGATCCTCCAGATATTTTTGAATTATAACTCCCAGGATTTCGGACTATAGTCCATCAACATCTGGATGGTCACAGCTTTCCAATTCCTAGCCTATATGTTCAGTGATACAACACATTACATACATCAGTCACTCAGTCTCTAGTCACCTTGCAATTCAACTACAGGTAGTCTGTGGGTTAAGAATGCCCAGTTTACAGACAGCCCCTAGTTAAGAATGGAGCCTACTGTAGCAAAATTCGAGTTAAATACCCAATGATTCGAGTTAAAAACACAATGGTTTGAGTTCATTACACAATACTACTTATACAGTATTATACTATAATACTGTTCCAGCTTACATACAAACTCAACTTAAGGACAGACCTTGGGAACAGAACTCGTTCTTAAACTGGGGACTACCTGTACTGCAATGCTCTCTAAATGGGTTGCCCTTGAAGATCACTCAGAAGCTTTAACTGGTCCAAAATGCAGAGGTGTGGGCAGTGATCGGCATGCCTCGGTATGCTCATGCGACACCACTGCTTTGTGAGCTGCACTAGTTGCCAGTGTGCTTCCGAGTGCAATTCAAGGTGCTAGTTATTACTTATAAAGCTCTCTGTAGCAAAGGGTCTGGTTATTTGAAGGACTGCCTATTTCCCATAGTTCCTGCCTATCCAGTAAGAGCTGGCACAGTTGGCACATCCCAGGTCCCCTCAATTAAATAATGCCACCCACTGGGACCTAAGGAAACGTGCCTTGTTTTGGTGGTGCCTGCCCTCTAAATGAGTTCCTTCCAGAGACTTGTGTGGTTCCCACCCTGATGATGTTCCAGAAGGCCTTGAAAACCTGGTTGCTTTTCCAGGCCTTGGGGTAGGGTACACGTGGCCCCCTTGTTAGATGTGCTTCTATATAAAGCATATTGTTTGGGTTGACACTATTTTGTTTACTTGGATTGTAGTGCTGGTTTTTTTAATGCTGTACCTTTTTTTATATTGTGAACCACCCAGAAACATTTTATTTTTATTATTTATTAACAAAATAAATGAATATTTTGTGCTATTATGCTATTTTTTAAAATAGTTCCTAATACAGTACTGTAAATCTAAATTCAAATTCTTGTCATTCAAGTAAGAATTTTATCTAATACAATTATATTTATTTTAAGGAATAAATTAATTTTCACTGCATTTAAAAAAAATAGCTAATCTAAACTGACAGATCATCTTGAATCTTCTTCACCAATGAAGAGTAATGTTTGAAATGTATTTTTATTTTTATAGACATATTTAATTTTATGAAAATACACTATTACATATCCAGTAGGCATTTTTCTTTATTTAAATGAAGGATTTAAATGTTTTGTGAGACAATGTCAGTGCAACTACATTTATTACAACAGCTTCTGTTTCATCTGTATTTATCTTCTTGCCAGTAGAGTAAATAAAGAATCGAGCAATTCAAATCTATGGGTTGGATACTGCATTACATGTATGGCCAATTTTGCACTTATGAGCAAACCTTGTTGAGACAGGGAATAGTCCTGTGGAGTCCTTGGGGTTCTTAGAGAACCCCAAGGACTCCACAGTTCAACCCTGAGCTACACATATTCTCTTCTATTGGTAGATAGTCCTGGGCATAACAATGAATGTTTTTAGGAATGCATTCATAAGTTTAGTAGCAGAAGATCTAAAGATGAGGCTCAGATAGATAAGATGCTTTTATTACTAAGGTGGATGTAGCTGTTACAACAATGAAGATCAGCTACTGGTGAATCCAGGAATCTAGCCATATTTATTTGTCAGCTCCAGGATTTAAACCTCATGCCTTTCTTGAGTTCTTACAGAGTAATGGACTTCTTCCTACCCATTTCTCAAACTTGGATGCTGAGGGCACCCGCACAGTGTTTTGATAATGGGCCTGTGTGATCATACTCTCTTATTTCCGGGCTTACTGGCTTTGGCCCTCACACCATTAATGCTCAATATACACATTCTAAAAGAGATCTCTGAAAGCTGTAGAAACTGTGGCTGAGATTTGAGTAAACTTTCAGAATTACATAATGCAGACGTTTTAATCACAACTGACTACAGTATGACATTTTGGACTGAAGCTGCTTGACAAACTATCATCAAAATCAGAAGCCCAACCACCGAAGCCAAACATTTCCAAAAACCATGACCCAAATTTTGTTTCACATCAGTCTAGGTAATCTGGGGAAGCAGAGTAGATAGCTCTATTCAAAATAAATCTTGATAGGATTTTTGTTGTTGCTCTTTTAGTTTTAACTGATTACACCAGCACCTTGTTATTTCCCAATTCTAGAAGTTACCAAAGACCATGAAGGTTTCAAAATACTCTTCCCTCACTAAACTACTTCCCAAAGTAGGCAAAAAGGTTATTTTGGAAAGTCACACATTGCTACAGCATGTGCAGTTTTGCTCCTGCAGCCCATAATCCACCTTGCTTTGTAGTTAAGCAAAATAGTAAATGTAGCCCTTGCATTAAAATATGAATATGAATTGTAATACACTGCATTACAATTGTAAATCCTAGATTTTATTACTGGGGAAACAGTCCTTTTCATTCTACAAGCATAAGTCACAAGATGATTACTAGGGCTATACAATGCTTTGGATTTGACTGGGGAGAAATGGTTCAGAATGCAACAAAGGGTGAATGCAGTAAATGCCTGCAATTCATTGGAGCAGCTACCTCTGTTTTGAGGACTCTGTGGCTGCTTCAGTTTTTAATGAGTCCGGAGAAAAGCTGTATCCATGCTCCTAACATTCAAAAGTACTGCTTCCCAACTGAATCCAAAGCATTGCACAGCCCTAGAGCTTACAGGACAGGACATAGGAAAATTTAGGACATTTCTATCTCAATTTTTTAATTCATATGTATTAAGAGTTGTACGTAAGGTAAAGACAAATCTAAAGAAAGAAAAGAAAAGAAACTAAAGTTATGAAATACAATGACTTCTGACCTTGTTTTCAACAGATAATTACAATCTTATAATCCTCCCTCCCTCTTAAATGTTATACAAATCCTTTCAGCCCCTCACTTAGTCCACATTTTTGTAATCCTCAAAACCATAAATCATATTATTTTTTTCTTCTTTCAACGAAAAGTCCATAAAAGGTGACATTTCTATCTCAAATTCAAAAACAGATGAAAGAATTCGAAGTACATTATGAAGATAACAAGAAGGTGAATTATTCTCATCTATATTGGGACTAAGCATGACAGATATTCTATTGATCACAACAAACAAACATAGTTCGATAAAACAAGGAAGGAAGGAAGGAAGGAAGGAAGGAAGGAAGGAAGGAAGGAAGGAAGGAA